CGACTCGTTTGCTTAAGTCTTACTTAAGTTTAGTTTTTCTTGCTAGATCTTGATCTAGATCTAGATCTAATCATTAGGCCCGGAGCGAGCATTTCAAAATTACCATATTCCAAACAAAGATTTATATAAAATAATAAAGGTCTAAAATAGTTAAGTATATAGAAAATCATTATTATCTAAATCTAGAAAGAAAATTATCTATATTTTAGATCTACGACTGAGCTATATTTAGACTTTACGTTTATAATTTAGCAAACTTACCGGCATCTAAGCCGCGTATGAATCTTAAGCTACACCTATAGATCTAGGCCCGGGAGCGAGCATTTCAAAATAACCATATTCCAAACAAAGATTTATACAAAATAATAAAGGTCTAAAATAGTTTAGTATATAGAAACTCATTATTATCTAAATCTAGATAGAATTATCTATATTCTAGATCTACGACTGGTTTGCTAAAGTCTCGTTTTTTTTGGATTGTATTTATAACTAATAAATCATTGATTTGACCTAGATTCTAGATTCTAGATCTAGATCTATAAATAACTTTCCTTCGACAGCTGATCTTTAGATCTAGAGAAATTTATTGTAAAACTAAATGAAAAAGACAGTTGAAAATTGATATAAGTGTTGGAAAGTAATAAATACAGCAAACGGACGTATTGTTAAAGTTAAAGCCGACAGAAAATTAGCTTTAGAACGCGTTAAACATTGGAATGGGAACACAATCTTCTTCGATAGGCCGCCATTATCGATGTAAAAAAATAAACACATCATGTGACGTCACTGTTTCCGTCGAGTCTAGTGGCTTTTCAAATCTTTTTTAAAAAATGGGTTACTCTACGTATGAATAAATCAATAAATTAATTACCGTCATTAAATAAATGTGTGATTATCAGTCTGTCTGCATTAAAAAATTATTCTCTACCTACATACTATTTTACAGCTCTCCATATAGAGTCGAACATATCACAATTTTCGATCGGACAAACAAACAAATAAATATTCAAACATGTAAACAAACTTGACTTTTAGTAGTATATAGATATATGTAGATATTCACATATGTGTGTATCTATCTCTTTAGCTGTGTCTCTCACTCTCTCCCTCTATATATATATATATATATATATAAATATATATATAAATATATACATATATATATATATATATATATATATATATATATATATATATATATATATATATATATATATATATAAATATATTTATAAATATATAAATATATATATATATATATATATATATATATATATATGTATATATATATATATATATATATATATATATATATATATATATATATATATATATATATATATATATATATATATATATATATATATATATATATATATGAAGTCAGATGAATATTGTGGTGAAGCTGCCAGAATCAACAGTTACGTCATATCAGCAAGTATTCCAAACACTACAGTCCGTGATCTTGACCCCGATTTTTTAATCACGTTTATTCATCTAGAGAAAGTAAGACTTACTCGAATTTCTCTGATTTTTAATGTTTAATATTGGTAGATTTTGTTTTTGTTTTCAACTTTCATTTTTTTCTTTAAAAAAATACAGTTTTAAAATATGTGTGATTTATTTTAGTGCATGATGCTGGTAAAGTGTGCTTACATATCTTTCTTAAAAAATACAGTTTTAAAATGTGTGATTTATTTTAGAGCATGTTGCTGGTATAGTGTGCTTAAATATCTTTCTTAAAAATACTGTTTTAAAATGTGTGTGATTTATTTTAGAGCTTATTTACAATAAAGTGTGCTTAAATATTTTTCTTAAAAAATACAGTTTTAAAATGTGTGTGATTTATTTCAGAGCATGTTTCCAGTAAAGTGTGCTTAAATATTTTTCTAAAAAAATACAGTTTTAAAATGTGTGATTTATTTCAGAGCCTGTTGTTGGTATAGTTTGCTTAAATATTTCTCTTAAAAAGAGCAGTTTTAAAATGTGTGATTTATTTCAGAGCATGTTGCTGGTATAGTGTGCTTAAATATCTTTCTTAAAAAATAAGTTTTAAAATGTGTGATTTATTTCAGAGCATGTTTCCAGTAAAGTGTGCTGAGATATTTTTGTTTAAACAATACAGTTTTAAAATGTGTGATTTATTTCAGAGCATGTTTCCAGTAAAGTGTGCTAAAATATTTTTCTTAAAATTACAGTTTTAAAATGTGTGATTTCTTTCAGAGCATCATTCCAGTAAAGTGTGCTTAAATATTTTTCTTAAAAAATACAGTTTTAAAATGTGTGATTTATTTCAGAGCATGTTTCCAGTAAAGTGTGCTTAAATATCTTTCTTAAAAAAATAGTTTTAAAATGTGTGATTTGTTTCAGAGCATGTTTCCAGTAAAGTGTGCATATAGAGTAGAGCCTCACACGGGGACATCGGCAAACTGGTCCACTGTGGGCTGTAGAGTTGTGGAGACGTCTAATGAGAAAACTATCTGTGCCTGTAGTCATCTTACAAATTTTGCACTGATTATGGTAGGAAGGCGTTTCTTGTTATACTACCACCTTCTTTTGTGTTAATATTTGGAACTCAATAACTATCCTTTATAGTAAGAAGATATTAAAAAAGAAACGCGGGATCGAAATATCCCAGAAATGTCAGCTTATTTTCTGATATGACAGTGTCAGTAGAGCCGGGCTATAAAATTGAAAGAAAAATTAATTGTACTAATATTAACTTAAAAAAAATATAATAGAATCTAGAAGAAAAAGAATTTCGCTAACAAATTAACGCAACTATGTGTGCATACCTGAGCATACAATTATTACATTATATTGAAAAACAGATTCGTGTTTAAAAAGTGAATTAAACATCCGATTAAGTCACATTTAATGTGACTATTGTCGTCGAATCAAATCGGTCATGTAGCAGTAAAACTTTTAATAGAAATACCGTAAAGAACTATGTCGGGTCATCGGAAATCACTCACAAATTTGACACAGTCAAGACAATACAAGTTTATAGCGATGTTTAAATTTTCTTTTAACTATCTGAAAAGTATGTTATCTGTATTTTAAAAACCGGAAATTAAGTACCACTTCCGGATATCGGAAATCACTCACAAATTTGACACAGTCATTAGAGTACGAGTTTATAGCCAGTTTAAACTTTATTTTATCTAACTGGAACGTTACTTATTTTATCTGTAATTAAAAAACCGGAAATTAAGTACCACTTTCGGATATTGGATGTCACCTACTATACTTATAAATGAAATTTCGACTAAAGTTTCGTGTTCTCACGGAAAATTCAATAAAATAAGATTTCCGGAAATCGTTCAAATGTCGACAGAAATCTTTGCATACAACATAATACATACTGTTTAAATTTCGGTCCAACTTATCATAAACGGTTCTCAAGTTATGGCCTTCTGTGAAACCGGAAGTCGAGAAAGTACCACTTCAAGATCGCGCCCAAAAGTATTGGATTAAAATTCAAATGTTTATTCACCGGTTCCGCGCGATTATAAAATGTCAAACTTTGTCAAAACCTTGATTTAGATTTCTGCACGATTACAATGCATCTTATATATTATTCCGTATACGATATACAGGTTGGTGTAAAACGGTGAAAACTGTTAATATTTAATTTAATTTTTTGTAGACGGAAATTTTTATCTCTTATATACGAGATCATAAACATAAAGAAATCTTCTGTCTTTAAGTAACCAAACTCAATTATTTAAGAAAACACTATAAAGTATTTTTATGAATCAAACATTGTCATTCTTTTTGCTTTAAAAATCTTAAGCTTGTTCACAAAAATGTATTTAAAGGATGTTTACGAAACCAATAAAAATGCAAATGTGGAAGACGACAAAGCTCTATCCATTATTACTTACGTTGGTTGTGGCACGTCCACATTCGGACTGGCCTTGACTTTATTTGTGTACTCAGTTTACAGGTAAATTTATTCCTTAATTTAGTTTATTGCTACGGAGTGGTTTGATAGTAGAATGATCAAAGGTTTGTTAAACAAATTAACAAGATTTGTGTTTTTATGTTTACATTGGGCTATATTTAACTGTGTTGTGTTGAAATTATTTGAGACAAAATTGTCGTCATATTAATGTTTAGAAAATCGGGCACTTATAAAAAAAATAGGCTACGTTCCCACAGTGCATTTGCTTGGATGCAAACTTCAGGTTGTACTAGAAATAAATTAATATATTAAATGACATAAAATTTAGAATTATTCAACAATAAAAATCGAAAAGTACAGTAGTATCACGTTTTATCAGAAAACTGAGAAGCCAGGAGTCCTCGCTCATCATATACAACCTGTGTTGGGCAATGTTCCTATTTAACTGTGTGCTGTTGCTGGGAATGCATTCTCAATATTTGAACACTTTTTTGTGTAAGGTATGTTAGAACATCAGCATTATCTTACAATTTTTGTTTCCTAAATACCTAATATTATTACTTATATCAGTATTATCTTACTTAAATACCAAATTCATAATAATATTGCCTACATCAGTATTATCTTACAATTTTTGTTTCTTAAATACTAAATTCATAATATTACTTATATCAGTATTATCTTTCAATTTGTTGTTTCTTCAATACCTAAATCAGAATAATATTACTTATATCAGAAATACTGTACAATTTTTGTGTCATTTATACAAAATTTATAATAATATTAAAGTAATTAAAATGATTGTTTTTATTAAACTATTTTTCAACATATTATTTCTTGTTTATATTTTAAACAGATGGTCGCCTCGTTCATTCATTATTTTCTACTTGCGACAATGGCTTGGATGGCTGTAAACGCTGTTTACATGTTTATTTGTCTGATTCTCGTTTTCAACACCCACTTCACATTTTTTCTACTAAAAACATGCGTTGCAGGATGGGGTGAGTTCAGTTTATATAAAGCGTATAGGATTATTATTTTATATTTTTTTTTGTAAATGTGTGTTTAATTTTTGTTTGTTTTTTAATCCTAGGTTTTCCATTAATAATCGTCGCCATCACATTGGGGGTGAATAAAACGGAAAGTTATGGTTACACCTCTTCTGGAATGTAATAATTTAAACATATATATATATATATATATATATATATATATATATATATATATATATATATATATATATATATATATATATACCATACATTTATTAAAAGAAACATTATCTTTCTATATCTCTAATTTGCTATCACTCTCAAACTCTCTCTCTTTATATATATATATGTATATATATATATATATATATATATATATATATATATATATATATATATATATATATATATATATATATATATATATATATATATATATATGGTGAACCGGCCAAAGTTTTAATTAGAAGATCATCTGGCTAGCGACGACAAGCCAAAGTCCGAATGAGAAGATCATGAGCAGATTTTGGTTTTTTTTTTAATGCCGTAAGGATCATGAAATTAAGCAAAGTTTTGGACTTTGACAGACCTATGGGAGGCCATATTGGCCAATGCGTGCATTGGCCGGCCAATCTGGACATTGGCCGACTTCTTGCTTTGACCGTAACACACACACACACACACACATATATATATATATATATATATATATATATATATATATATATATTATATATATATATATATATATATATATATATATATATATATATATATATATATATACATATTTATTTATTTATATATGCAAATATAAATGTACATATTGTGATGTAAATATTTTAAAGTGCACGCATTAATGAATTCTATGAATAGATGTTGGGTGCAGCGTCCCGAGTTTTACTACGTGGTTGTTGGACCCGTACTTTTTACGCTGGTTGTCAACTGCACTGTGTTCTTGATGATTCTGCACCAGCTGCTACGTTTGTCACGGCTCAGTGGCCAAACCAGCTTAAACGAGAGTTCGACGAAGAGGTTTGTTTGTTTTGTGAACGCTTGGCACGTGTAAACATATATATATATATATATATATATATATATATATATATATATATATATATATATATATATATATATATATATATATATATATATATATATATATATATATATATATATATAACAATTTATGATTGTATGAATACTTGGGGGGGGGGGGGGGGCGGGGGAGGTGTGAAGAATGCAGCGGCGCCATATAAATGTACACAACTATGTTAGTCATTAGTCATCTTAACATGGTAGGGATAGATTTTTTTTTATTTAAAAAAAAAGAATTTTGGAAGCCAAAGCAATCAAAAGAGAAAAACGTGCATAGAGATATTTACGTGTAAATAATGACTTTTTTCATTACAAAAAAATTTTGGAAGCCAAAGCAATCAAAAGAGAAAAACGTGCTTAGACACATTTACGTGTAAATAAGGACTTTTTTCCATTAGATACTCTGACTGAGTTCTTTCGATACAGTGGCGTAGCTAGGATTTTCAAGCCCCTATGCAAAAATTACCAGTGGGCTCTTTTCTCCGCTGTTAGGCTACAATGGAGTTAGCGAAGAAATCAAATGTTACTTAAGATGGAGGGTTTTCAAAAATATAAATATTATGTAAATTATGTATTTTATACGTCTTGATTGTGTATTTCTACAATATTATTGTGTATGCCTACAACCCCGTAGTTATATAAAATGTTACAGGCTTACAGTTAATGTTTTTTTTTTAATTAGCCAAACACAGTGGGGTCACAAAGTGGGGGAAAAGGTGCGGTCCACATCGGATGACATCATGACAAAAAATTGTAAAATTTACTGTCAAAACTATGTTATATACAGCTAAAATAATAAAAGATAAGTCAGAGAGGGATGACACCCCACCGAAAGTGCAAAATTGTAGGGGGCTATGGGGTGACACCTTTGGTCTACGTGTAGGGTAACACCCGACCTTGTGACGCCACTGACCAAACACAATTGTTTTTAAATTTCTCGAGATTTATTTAGATATATTTTTTGTCTGCTTTTAACTTTGCAAAATGATTAATAAGTTCCCTGAGGTCCATTATAGCAGCTCCTGCATGTTAGATACTTAGGATGGCCACGTTACTGACCCAATGGGCATATCTACAATTTATTTCATAACAAATTAACAGCATCACAGTGAGCAAATAATGACATTTAAAAATTCCGTCATGGATATTAAAAACTGCGTCCCGTTCACCGTGGAATGTTAAAGAATATGTTAAAGTAATTAGCGTACCCGTCCGCGGTGCTGCTATCTAGTTCCACATACCAGGGTACCTAAACAATTTGTAAGGGTTTCATCAACGCGTTACTGATTGTTGTACTTTTAGTCGCGTGACCTTGTTTGCTAAACAAGGAAAAGGGAAGTATTGGTGTATCCACTAAAACAGAGTAACCCTTATTTACATTATTTAAAATAATGTAATGCACCTTTATATATATATATATATATATATATATTATATATATATATATATATATATATATATATATATATATATATATATAACATTAGAAAAGGATTAGAATCAGGTTGATTAATCACATTGACTTATTTTTAAGTTTTTTTGTGGGTTTATTTTACAACCGAAAAAAAAATAACTTTTTATTTTACGAATGATTAATCACAATTGGTGAAATAAATCTCAATTTTATTTCAGGTTGGCACGAAATTTCCGCTCAGCCGTCAGTTTGTTTGTTCTGTTGGGTCTCACGTGGGTCTTTGCGTTTCTGGCTATCGGAGCAGCGCATACCGTGTTCACATACCTGTTTGCGTTGTTTAGCTCTCTACAGGTGAGGTATTAGTTCTAGGGGTTAATTATAAAGCATGAAAATGATGTATTCGTTCTACAGGTTTGTTATAAAGCGTGCATATGATTTATTAGTTCTACGGGTTAGTTATAAAGCTTAAAAATGAGGTCTTTGTTCTAAGGGTTAGTTATAAAGATTGAAAAATGTATTAGTTATTACTGATTAGTTATAAAGCGTGCACATAAGAAATTACGTTTATATATTTTGTCATTATCATTGCAGATTTATTATTAAACTTTGCTGGTCAGTTATGAAGTTTGTAAAATAGCTATAAGCTCTAAAACATAGATAATTGATTCATTAGGTTTGTTATGTAGTTTACATGCTAGTTTTCATTTCACGTTTACATCACATAGGAGGATCAACGTGATCGGAATAGTTAAGCTATCGAAGCAAACCCAAAAAGAAAAGCAAGCTGAAATCGGAGTCAACGGCCTGTGTCGATAGTTCACGATCTTTTGTAAACACTAGATTTGAAGCTCTTTGCATTCCTTCGAGGCCAGTGTACGATATTTTGTAAACAAAAAATTCTTCACTTCTTTTCTTCAGGGCCTCTTCATGTTTACTCTCTACTGTCTACTGAAAGAAGAAGTTTGGACTGTTTTGAAAAACTTATGCTGTGGTAAAGATGAGTTCTCGGATATAAAAAAGAGTAAGTACAATCATTGTTTACGTTTAACTGAAGTCAGTAGCGTAGCCAGGATCGTCTCATGGGAGGGGTTCACATTTTTTTCTATTAGTATATAACCCGGTGACAAACTTTCGATTTGCATCTCCCCCCCCCTCAAATTTTTATTTGCACCCCCTCCCCCTCAAACTTTCGATGTACATCAACCCCTCAAACTTCATATATATACCTAGTGGTCTATGGGGGGTTATGACCCCCCTAACCTCCCCCCCCCCTGCCTACGCCACTGACTGAAGTAGTTTTGTAACTAATTAAGTATTTTCTTCGCAAAAAGTATTTAATTGGATGCTTGTCTGAAAAAAAAGATATTTCTGTTTCTTTGTATACCCTTGAGTTAGGGTTAAGGATAGTTTTGGCCTGTAGTGATCTACGTGTATTAATATTTTAAAACTAGATATGTTAGTTGTTAAGATCAATAGGAATGAACAACTCTTTAATAACCTGCATTTCTCAAGGACTGTTAGATTTTTTGCCTTTGAGCAACGAGAAGCTGGTCATTAATTTTGAGTATATATTGAAAATTTAGGATAATATACACGAGAATTATTCGTTCGCTTGGGGGATTTATAAAGAATCTTGGGCACGACATTCTTTTATTACAATCTCTGTGTTTCCTTGTTCATTTTTAAACAGGAATACTCATTTAAATAGCAATGGACTAATAATTAATATATTTTTGTTTCACATAATGATCGATGTAAAGTAGTTTAAAATCAAATAATTTGTTCTCCATAGACACAATGACTACATCAAGTACATTTTATAAATCCAGCCTGAACGAAGAGGAAACTATGAAAGATAGTTACAACATTGTAAGTATTACGTCTCATCATTTGAAATACTCTACAAAAAACGCTAATTTTTATTAAATTTTTTGTTGATAAATGGTTAAAATTATTTTATATAACACTAGACGACTCAGTTACCCGTTGGAAAATGTCTGTGCTTCACTGCGCAAATCAAACCACTGCGCCGAGCACACCCGATTTACATTTCCATACTAAATGAATTTCTACTATACGCCCCGAACCTCTGCTCTTTCTTTCTGATTCATACATTTATGTCAATCACGCGGGGTGAGTCGGGATTGCAAAAATGACAAATTATGCGAACGATTGATGAGACGTTGTATGCTTGGTATTAGCTTCCACACAAAAAAGTATTAAATCTGCATACCAACATAAAACATTGTAAACCTAAATATGTACTTGTTTCATTCAACAAAACACTAATTACACGGAAAATTTAATTTTGCAATTGTGTACGTATGTTTGTATATATATATATATATATATATATATATATATATATATATATATATATATATATATATATATATATATATATATATATAATATATATATGTCTGTGAACATGATAACTTGAGTACAATTACAGCTAGATTTATATACTTTGTAGTCTACTTTTAGTTTTTAAAAAGCCTATAACTTGAGCTTGTTTCACCTAGACAAACAAAATTTCACATGTAAGTAAAATAATTAATGTTCTACTTTCTTGTAAATTTTGAGTAGTTTATGTTGACCGAAAGTATTTCAGATTTCTCAAAAGAAAACGCAAATGTATGCATAAAGTACTAATATTCCACTTTTTTTCTCTAATATGTAAAGCTCAATTCTGTATGTAAAAATAAATGTGTTTGTCGTGGATACTTCGATGGATTTCAGTGTTAGATTATTATCGTGCTCATTGTCTAAATTTAATCTGAGTTAAAAAATTACTATTGAAAGTGTTGGGAAATAATTTTCATTTTTCAAACTGATAGTAATAATTGCCGGCATGTTCATTAAAAACAATTTAAAAAAAAAAATATCATCTTCTACAAAAACTCTAATTATGTATGAAAATTATTTATATTTAGTCTTTAGCATTTACTTCCCTTTGAAAAATTAGGAAAACACAATTACTTCCCTTTATAAAGCATTGCATTAGTGGAAAAAAATTACTTTTTATTACTTTGTTTTTGTGTTGGGAAAAAAATAATTACATAATTAGCGGGGATTGATCAAGTGCAAATGTCGTAGGTATTTTACGGTTAAGCTTGGAGTATTATAATTGTTCATTTGGTTTGGTTTGCCACCTACGTTCGTTTAAGTGAGTGCAAAAAGCTATGAATAAGTTGGGTACTATAGTCGTTTATTAAGCTGAAACAGGCGATTTTGCCCCGGGCTAGACTGTGAGCACTTTGCGTTTATGTTCGCGTTTGTGTTTTCTTTGTGTTTAGATTGGGTTTTCGTTAGTGGTTGCGTTTTGAATTGGTTCGTTTTTGTTCTTTCTTTTTTTGTTTTCGTTTGTGTTTTTTTCTTTGGGTTTGTGTTTGTATTTGTGTTTGTGGTTGGTTTTGCGTTTGGATTTGGTTTCTTTTCGTTTGCTTTTTCGATTGTGTTTTTTTCTTTGGGTTTGTGTTTGTGTTTGTGGTTGGTTTTGCGTTTGGATTTGGTTTCTTTTTGTTTGCTTTTTCGATTGTGTTTTTTTCTTTGGGTTTGTGTTTGTGTTTGTGGTTGGTTTTGCGTTTGGATTTAATTTGTTTTCGTTTGCTTTTTCGTTTATTTTTTTCTTTGTGTTCGTATTGGTGTTTGTGGTTGTGGTTGGGTTTGTTGTTAGGTTTTTGTTTTCGTTTGTATTTGTAATTGTGTTAGCTTTATGTTTGCGTTTTGTTGTTTTGTTTTTGGTTGGTTGTGGTTTGGGTGGGCAATGCCGGGTTTATGATAATTACAAAACACACAGGTAATGGTCTTTAACAGAAAGGTTTTTCACAGAAGCCAGAGCTGGGACGGCTAGTGATACATACATTTTCGCTGTTCACTTGTTGCGTAATTCATTTTTTTACGAGATTTTATTCAATTTTAAAAAGTTTAAGTAAACAAAAGTTGATTAAAAATCATGCCTATATCCCGAGTTGCATTGGAGAAAGTTTAGGGGAGATCACTCCCGCTCTATTTTATTTGGCCGACACAATAGTTTTCTGCATTTTTCAAGTTTTCATCACTTAATGAAATTTAATAGACAGCTAATGCCTTCGTATTTTCGAACTGAATGATTTGCCAAGCATTACTTTATACAATTCATAATATTGTCGGAACCCATCAGAAATGACAAATACATATATCATTTAAATTATAGTCGGAAGATAGAAATACATTCTAATGAACAACATTCTTTAATCAGTATCACTGTCTTATTTGAATTGTCGCCTAGTTTGCATTTTAACTTAATTATTTCCCGAGTAAAAAAAAAATCTACATAATCAAATTTCACATATTGCATAATTAAATGTGTGCTTTTAATTTCAAATAAATCTTAACTATTTATTACCGTTTTCAAATAAAATTTGGTTTATACTGTTCTTTTTAAAATAATATTTCTCCCTTCATAATTGAGTGTTTTAAAGTTATAGACATTCTGCTTATTTTCCAAACTCGCTATACCAACTAATACATATATAAACATAGATATAAATCATCCAACTGGATAGACAGGTGAGTTATAATAGTGTTATGGCGATAAATGATTGGAGTGATTTTAACCTTGCTGAATTCTGTTAATTTTTAAATCACAGGAATCTGTTGAATCAGCGCCATTGAAGGATACAGGTGACACGACCTAGCAAGATTCTATTAATTCTATTTATTCTCGGACGTTTTCTTTGGTTTTAAACTGGATATCTGGCTAATAATGAAGACGGGTGTGTTTCTGCCTCTGATGTTTAGGCTTTGTCTCAGGTTAAAATAAACCGGTAGTGATCTCCCCTAAACTTTCTCGAATTTTCTTATATAAAACAACAGGGGATGGTAACTGGGGATATAGTTATGATTTTTAATCCATTTTAAATACTTAAACTTTTAAAAATAGAATAGAATCTCATAAAAAAGCAATATTATTAGTACTTTAAAAATTTACATTAGTTTTTTGAGAAATCGGAAGTAGCGTAAATTACTACTTCCAGTCAACGGAAATTACTCAAAATTTAACAGAAGGTAGAGAATTAGATCTTTTACTTACATGAGAAATTTCATTTATCTATCTGAAATAGTACTCAAGTTATAGGCTTTTGAAAAATTCAAAGTAGGAAAAGTACCACTTCCGGTTATCGCTCAAAAGTTGATACGGATCTACGATTTTGATAAAATACTTATATATGAAATTTCATCAACCTAGCTGTAACGGTACTCAAGTTATCGTGTTTACACACGGACAGACAGACAGACAG